AATGATCATATCTGAATAACTAATACAAGTTAATGCCTTTCAAATTTAGGAATATTTTTCATTCTGAATATACTCAGTCCTCTAAAGAAGTAATTCATTTTTAAGTTTTGTGATTACAAGAGGATACATGTTCATTAAATTCAAACATTACAGAAACATTAAAGGTAGAAATACAGTTCTTCTAACCCTCTTTTTGTCCTTTGATAACCACCAACAATAATTTGGCATATACTCCTATAGACTTTTTAATGCATTATAATTTAGGCAAGTTTTCACAAGAATTATGGTTTGGGAAGGAGTGAAGAGGAAAGCAGAAATGAGGGAAAATCTTTTGTAAATATGTTTGCTAATGCTAAAAATATGCTTAAAGGTAAAAGCCAGATTACAAAACTGCACATAAAGTATTTTGTTTAAACAAATATCCAAAAAATGTATTACCCAGGAGGGAAATGTAAATCAAAGGCACAATCAAATACCACTTGACTCACATTGAGATAACTGTAAGAACAAGTTTTGGTGAGAATGCGCAGAAATTGGAACTCTCATACACTGCTAGTGGGAACGTAAAATGGTACAGTTATTGAGAAAACAGTTTGGCAATTCCTCAAGATTTTAAATGCGGCAAGTTACTGTATGACCCAGCAATTCCACTCCTGGGTACATCCGAGAAAAAGGAAGACACACATCCACACAAAGAATTATACTTAAATGGTCCCTAGAAGCGTAATTTACACTAGCCAAAAAGTGAAGGGAATAAAAAAGCCAAATATCCCTCAACTGATGAGTGGATAAATACAATGTGACATACCCACCAAATGGAATACTATTTGATAATCAAAAGAGATTAAGTACTGACACACACCACATCATGGATGAATCTTGAAAGCGTGTGCCAAATGAAAGAAACCAGTGACAAAAGAATATATGATTCTACTTATATAAAATGTCCAGAAGAGAAAAATCTATAAAGAAATAAAGTGGATTAATAGTTGTGCAGGGTTTGGGAATTAGGGGGAAATAAGAAGTATTAGTGGGCATGGGGTTTCTTTGCGGAGTGATGAAGATGTTCTAAAACCGATGGTGGTGATCGTTGCGCGTGCTCAGCTGCGTCTGACTCTTTGCGACCCCGTGCCCTGCAGCCCGCCAGGCTCCTCTGTCCATGGGATTCTCCAGGCAAGAATACTGGAGTGGGTTGCCATGCCCTCCTCCAGGGTTTCTCCCCGACCCAGCGATCGAACCTGCATCTTAAGTCTCCTGCATTGGCAAGTGGTTTCTTTATCACTAGTGCCACCTGGGAAGCCCTGGATGGTTGCACAACTGTGCAAATACACTAAAGACCACTGAACTGTACCCTTTAGGTGAGCTGTATGGTATGTTAACTTTATTGTAGTAAAGCTGCTAGAAAATAATAACATTTGTCATCACCAGATGGTGAACAGTAATTTAAATTTTCTAATACATTCTTGTAATTTTCAAATTGTTGGTAACGACTATGAGTATTATTTTTTGTTAAGGGGAAAGTTATTTTTCCAAGTGTTCTTTGTGAGAATTAGAATGATGTTATTCTAGAAGCTGAGACAGAATTGCCCCTTGTATTCTGTCAGTCACTCATTAAACACCTACTATGTGCTCCAGGAATTGTTCCAGCATGAGCAAAGTTCTAACTTCAAATCAATAAATTACATCAAGTTAACACAGACACGACTTCTCTGTAACTTCAGAAAATGAATTAGGTATCATGCCACCACTGACTTCTCTGTTTTATTTTTGCACCAATCAATATCAGGAAATATTCTCTTCAATACAATGATTCTGTTTTCAAATTTTAAAACAACTTTAAAACTCATTTTAACATTAAAGATAAAACCACTGCAACACTTCATGGCTTAATAGCAGAAAAGGTATACCAAAAATTCAATTAGTAACAATGGCTACTAATTCAAAAACACTGGGAATCAATTCTTTAAGATACTTTCTGGCTATCAAGTCAATCATAAAAAGAATCTTTATGTAAACTGGCACCAAGAGGAAAATTAAAGTCAAAAGAACTCCTCGGAAATGGCTTGCCTTGAAGCTAAAAAGAACACAGCCTGAAAATATGGATGAGGAGGGATGAGGCATATGCTCAAGTAATGGGCAATTTCAATGGCATTCAGCTAACACCTGTCAGCTAAAAATGAAGTATTCAATCAGAACCTCCAGGGATGGTAACATCAGAAGATTATGGGGGAAGTGGCCTCATCTAAATTCTTGATTAGGAGAGCCAAACAAGGCACCTATGTTTTGAAACACTTCGCTGGCTATACTGATGTGAAGCCAGGGTTAATAATCACTGCATGAAGCAACACTCATCAAGGGAAACAAGAGAATGAAAAATCTGTTCTATAATTTAAAAATTAGAGACAATGTAACAAAGGCATTGAAGGGAGAAAAACTGGAGAGTAAGGAGACTACATACACAAAACATACTCCAAAAGTCTATTCAAGAGATGTGAGCTTGAACTAAGGAAGCACACAAAACAGACGGACAGGGCTCAAGTTAAGGGTTAGTCATAAAGCAGAATCTATAGGACCTAATGATCAAAGGGTTACGGAGAATGGAGAAACAGAGGCAAAATTGACTCTGAGGGCTCTAGTCTGAATAACCAGGTGGTTAGTGATGCCATTAACCAATGAATGGAACACAAAGGAGAAGCTGATTTGAAAGTTAAAGAGTTAATAGAGGCAAGATTCAAGGGGCTTTAAAGGTTACTTACAATATTTTACTACTAGGTTGGACAATTGGTGTTCATTTTATTATTCTTTTAAAAACTGAACGAATACCACAAAATTCAACTAGAAACCCAGGGTCAAAACTCAGAGATAAACTAGGAAAATGTGTGTGTGTAGGACATATGTAATAAAAAGGGGAATGAAATGAAGGTGGAGAGAGTGAACTTGGTTTTAGACCTATTGAATTTGCAGAAACTAAAATACTATTTCATGAAACAGGGGCTAGAGAAAAAGATGTGGAAATGGGTTGGCATACAACGATAATACCATGGAAGTAGGTGAGATCTCTCAGGGAAAGTTTATGGGATAGGGCAACGGTGAATCCCCAACTAAAAGGAGTCCATTGAGACTTTGAGAATAATCAAAAGGAGAGAAGCTTTTACCAATTCCCTTTCCAAAGGCATACAGAAGAAAATCAATTGGAAAAAAAAAATTAAAGCTACCATTTATGGTTATCTTACTGTACTCCAGTGGCAGGTCCAGAATTTCCAGATAGGTGGAGCTACAGGAGTCATCAATCTCTTTGAAGGAGGGCTTGAAGATGCTTTTGCACAGGACTTTATATTTAGTTAGAAAATACTAACTGACCAGATCAAAAAATCAAGGGAAAGAAGTTTGAAGGATATAGTTCGCCTCCCCTTTGGCACCACCACTGCTGTATTCTAGGCACCGTACCAAACATGTTACCTAATCTTCCATTCACAAGCTAAAGTAAATGAGGAAACTGAGGCTAGACTGGAATATCAACTTGCTCAAGGTTACAAATCTTTTAAGGAGCAGAGCACATCATCTTTGTTCCCACAGCTCTCATTGCTCTTTACACCTTACTAGAATTTCTCATTACTCATCTTGATTATAATGTGTATTTATGTGTCTCTGTATCACTGTACTGTTAGCTCCTCCATGCCAAGGTTCAAGTCATTCATTTCTGCATCCTTATAGCTAAGAAAGAGTAAATATTTTGTTGAATGGAGCATATGAAAGAACTATGTGAGAACGGCATCAATAACGCCAACAGGGGAGAAAGAGTTTCAAGAAATAGCTAGTAGCACCAGATGCTACAGACAGAGCCATCAGTATATCTTAGGTCGTCAATGGCACTGAACTGATATCCCTTAATCATTTTTGAAAGCCTCCTACAGGCGGGACACTGTGTTAATTAGACACAAGTTAACGTGGAAAAATAAAATCTGGTACAAGTCAACAGATTTTCAGAGTAGCAGCCACATCTAAATTCTTGATCAGGGCAGCAAAACAGAGTCAGGCCTGCAATCGCTTATATTTAATTTGGCACTGGCAAACCTGAAAACAATTTTAATAAAGGGTCACAGCGCATCTTTTAACAAAACTTCTGGTGAGGGACAAGAGATGAAAATGGGCCAGCGCACCTCTGTCTCGATGACGACGGCTGGTGGCCAAAGCAGCCGAGTCCCTCCGGAGTGTCTACCCCGCTGAGTAGGACCGTGGCTGCCCCCAGCTGCTAGTCGGTAGTCTGGGGCGGGAAAAAGCAGACACTTACCGCAAAAGGCACCGCTACCGCCGTGGCCCAAAGGGGCCGGGGAGACCTTCGCGAAGCCCCAAGCCAGGGGAGGAAACCAGGGAACGCGGGGATCAAACAGACAGGTGCGACCCCACAGCCCGACTTCCCAAACTGGATGAACTAGGGTCCCAGCGCCCAGCACCGCAACGCCAACTCCCACCAGCTGGAAGACCGACGACTGCCACCGAACCTTCCGCCCAATGAGGAAACGTCACCACTCGGCGTAGTCCAGCCTTTCAAGAAGGGCATACACTTCCGCTTCCGGGGCACTCGCCGCGTCTCTTCAATGTGTTTACCGAGAGTGTATTGAGATGTTTCTTTGCCTTGACTGGCGTTTGACATTCGTTTCCTATCGCTTAATAACTGCGGCATTAAAGTTAGAATGAAAATAGGAGGCTTTCTAGGGATGCGATCTCAGGAAAGAAGTCCAGCCTCCAGGCGCCACTTTAAGAAAAATGACTTGGCTGAGCACCACCAGCTAAGAGGGGAATTATGAAAGGTGGGGGAGTAGGGCTGTGTGAGAGCGGAGAGTCGCAGGAGCACGTGAGAGGGCAAGGATGAGGCGGGGCTTAGGACTTTGGCAGCCGAGGGAGGCGGGTTCCACGCCGGGTCTAATCGGGTGTCTGAACCGGCCTCTGCCTGCGCGTGCGCAGTGCGAACCTTCCGCTGCTCCGCTTTCTTCTCCGACATGGAATTCTGCTCCGCGCGGCTCGCAGTACTGCAACTACTCCGTACGGTGGCTCCGGCGGACCTCCCAGCGCTTCTGCAGTGGATGCGAACTACCCGTAAGCGATCAGAGCCAGAGTCAAACGGTTGGGGCAAGGATATGCTGTGGGCGCTGACCTTGGGGACCTAGGGTGAGGCCAGAAGCCTTCCATGGGGTAGCGATGCTGGTCTCTGCTCTGCTACCGAGCCGGTTGACCCCGGCGCATCGCAAGCATTGGCAGACTAAGAGTCCAGATTAAGACTGGGTGCAGAAAGACCCGGCTCTGGGTTTTGTGATTCCGCTACAGACTTAAGCAGCTAGAGCCGCCTTGTGTCTACCCTATTTCCTAAAGGAAAAAAGGAGGAATGGGTTAGCCCACCTCCCCATTACTCCCACAAATTTGGTACGACCAATAGGATACTACCTGAAAAAGCCCTTCACAAGATAAGTTTTAGACTGTAAAAACTTAAGACTGTAAAAAACTGGAAGTTTTGTACCCTGTAGGCAAAATCACATGTAACTAATCTCAATGTGTGTGTGTTAATCGCTCAGTCGTGACTCTGAGACCCCATGGACTGTGTAGCCCACCAGGCTCCTCTGTGCATGTGATTCTTCAGGCAGGAATACTGGAGTAGGTTGCCATTTCCTTCTCCAGGGGATCTTCCTCACCCAGGGATTGAACCCGCGTCTCCTGCTTTGCAGGCAGATTCTTTACCATCTGAGCTACAGGGAAGTCCCAGCTAATCTCAATAGTTCGTACATTTAAAGGAGTTGTTCCAGGGTGGGGAGAGAGAGAAAGCCGGGAAGGGAAAACTTTGTTTTGAATAATATTAATAGTAATACTAAAAAAGCACACTCTAGAATTGAAATGTGGTAATTAGGTCGAATTATTGAAGAATGGAGGTAGATCTATCTTGCAAAGTGAAGCCTGCTGAAAGCATTAAAAAATTCCTTGTTTGAGAACTCCTCCAAACTATGCTCTGCTTCTGTGCTCCTAATCGTTGATTCCATGTTTATTTTCAGCCAGCCATGAAATATTCCTGTTTGCTGATGACTCCCAGTTTTAGACTTTCAGGCATGAGAAGTTCTTCCTAGAACTTCTGTCTCTTTGTGATGTTAGAGTCAATAATCATTTGGGTGTTATCATTATTGTTATTACTGTTACACATTTTGGAAGATCATTTTAGCCAAGATGCCAAAATAAAATTACTTTGAACATCTGCTAGTGAGATTTAGCCTGGAAAGTAGAGAAAACTAAAGAGGTAGCTTCATATTTTTACACACAGACAAGATTCAAGATTGTTGTTCAGTCACTCAGTTGTGTCTGACTCTTTGGGACCCCATGGACTGAAGCAGTCCAGGCTCCCCTGTCCTTCACTATCTCCCCGAGCTTGCTGAAACTCATGTCCATTGGTCAGTGATGCCATCCAACCATCTCATCCTCTGTCATCCCCTTCTCCTACTGCCTTCAGTTATTCCCAGCATCAGGGTCTTTTCTGATGAGTTGGATGTTCGCATCAGGTGGCCAAAGTATTGGAGCTTCAGCTTCAGCATCAGTCTTTCTAATGAATATTCAGGATTGATTTCCTTTAGGATTAACTGGTTTGATCTCCTTGCAGTCCAAGGGACTCTCAAGAGTTTTCCAACACCACAGCTCAAAACATCAATTCTTTGGCATTCAGTCTTCTTTATGAAGAAGATTCATGATGGGTATTTTTTAATACAGGATCTTTTATTCCAAAATCCCTTGAAAGTGAAAGTGAAGTCGCTTAGTCGTGTCCAACTCTTCACAACCTCATGGACTGTAGCCCACCAGGCTCCTCCATCCATGGGATTTTCCAGGCAAGAATACTGGAGTGGGTTGCCATTTCCTTCTCCAGGGTATCTTCCCTACCCAGGGATTGAACCCAGGTCTCCCTCATTGCAGGCAGACGCTTTAACCTCTGAGCCACCAGGGAAGCCCCAAAATCCCTTGGGTGCCTACAAAATTGCCATCTACTTCCTGGTCCTGGCAATTGCACAATTACTAAAATATCCTTGCCTTCAAGATTTTTCAGTTTTGTGATACCGTTTGTAATCTAAATCTCCAGTTTTAGAGGCATCAGTTGAAACTCCATTTTTCCGAAATCACTGAAAGCATGTTTTGGATGATGATTTTGTAAACAAGAAGACCCAACACTATTGCCTAAAGATTATGTTTCTACTTTTTCTAACACCATGTTCTGTCTTCCTCCCCCAGATCCTGTAGTCAGAGTTGCTCAGGCAGTTTGTTAAACAATTTAGCAAACAAACTTAGTTTCTGAAGAATGTTTATTACATGAATATTTTAAGAAATAAGTGTCACTTATTCTTGCCTGGAGAATCCCATGAACAGAGGAGCCTGGCATGCTGTTGTCTCTGGAGTCACAAAGAGTTGGACACAACTGAGCAACTATACTTTTTTTTTCTTTATCTTAAAACAGAGGACTATGTTTTAATATAAATCTTAAAAAGTAGTGTAATTTATTGGTAAACGTTTTTTAGGTGGTAATAAAATATACATAATATAAAATGTACCATTTTTAAGTGTATAGTTCAATGACATGAAATACATTTACATTGTGTAACCATCATCACAATTGCCTCCAGAACTGAAAGTCCTCATGTACTTTTTAAATTAAATACAGCACAAAAGATTCTTCCAATCAATAATTTTTCATTTTGCTAATTCCCTTCTTCCAGGAAAAAAAAATTATTACATAATATCTTACTTGTATGACATTTGCTTAGACCTTTGTTAATTATAACTCCCCTTGAATTTTTATACTGTTTAGTGGAATAGCAAGAGTTAATAGTAGGCATTGTGATTTTGGTTTTGAGCTTCATAGACTTTATTGAAAGTAAAAAAACTACATATTGCTAACAAGTAAAATCACAATAATTTTTTTTTCACAATAATTTTAAATACACAAAGAAGAATGTTGTTGATCTCTGAAGGAATAATGGAATTATCATCCCTAGACCTGGGGTCACTTGGAATCAAGCTGATAGAACCAGAAGCTTGGACCAGACAGAGACAAGCACATGTGAATGTCTGATATAAACTGAAGATGTAGAAAAAATAAAGATAGAGCCTGTATTTACTTTAGTACAGCTTAGACCAATTGTCTAGAAACAAATGATCACTAGTATAAGAGGGATGAAGCAAGGATGAGAGACAAAGCGCACAGAGACAACTCCTGCCTCAAATAGATGAATGAAGAGAGTAAAAAAATACAACAGGACCTCAGTGCATTGACTCTAATCTTATAGTAGAGGATCTGTTCTTTTCTACTTCTTTATATACATACTACTTTGTGTATGTATATAAAATGGACTCTTGACTTAGCTTTCAACATATAGGAGAGTTACTACAGTCTATTAAGTGAAGGGAACTGAGAGCCAGAACTGTATGTGCGGTCCCCATTAGGCATATTAAAAATTGCATTTTGTTAACAGTTGTCTGTTACCAGACAAATGAGGATGTCAAACCAACAATGTGTAAAAGTTTCTATTGAGTCAAGTTATAAATACCTACATTACCATGTGTAAAATAGCTAGCTAGTGGGAAGTTACTATAGCACCGGGGGCTCAGCCCTGTGCTCTGTGATGACATAGAGGACTGGAATTCGGGGTGGGGTGGGAGGGAGGATCAAAAGGGAGGGGATATTGTATACTTAACACTGCTTCATATTGTTGTATGGCAGAAACCAACACAACATTGTAAGGCAATTATCCTCCAATTAAAAATAAATTTTTAAAAAGTTACAAATTTTAAAAAAGTTAGAAAATTGAGTTATGCTATAAGGAAATTAATAAAATCCTCAAGGAAATATTTTAATATTTAAGGAAGATAATTGTAGATGACTAGAAGCTTTTAGAAGCTTCTCTGCTTGCTGTATTTTAAATACATCTTCACTGAACAGAATTGGACTTGCTGCTTAGCAGCAACTACAAAGTTGTTAGAGGTTCTTTTTTTTTTTTTCATTTATTTATTTATATTAGTTGGAGGCTAATTACACTACAATATTGTGGTTTTTGCTGTACATTGATATGAATCAGCCATGGACTTACATGTGTGCCCCATCCTGAACCCTGCTCCCACCTCCCTTCCCATGTTAGAGGTTCTTTGAAATTCCTACTAAATCTAAAAAGCAAAGGCGGGGATCTAGTTACATTTGTCAAACAGCATACTATTCCAGTTCTATATTGTATTACCACTGAGGAAGTAGCCACATAACTTACAGATTTTCCAATCTTTACTAAAACATTATGAATTTGTGAACGTTATCAAGTATATGAGGTAAATAGATTGTTTTTTCCAGAAACTACAAAGATACATTGGGCAAATGCATACCTCTTAAACAAAATTTTTCTGTCAAATAGGTAAAAATAATTGTACTTTTCATCACATTTATTGTGTATTAAAAATGGCCATGATATATAGAAAGAATAATACAAACAAGTGATTTATTCCAAAATGCACTGTTAGATTAACATTAGAAAATCAAGTAATGTAATTCACTATATTAACTAAAAAGAAAAACTGTATGATTATCTCAAGAGACATAGAAAAGCGTTTGATGACATCCAGCATCTCGTCCTGATAAACACTTCCCAGACTAGGAATAGCAGGAAACATTCTCAACCTGATAAAGGGGATCTATGAAAAATCTACAGCTGACATCATAGTTAATGGTGAAAGACTGAATTCTTTCCCCTAAGAATAAAACGGATTTGTACTCATCACTTCTAGCCAGCATCTTAATAGACCTTCTGAAAGTGTTAGTTGCTCAGTCGTTTCCGACTCTTTGCAAGCCCCTGGGCTATAGCTCACCAGGCTCCTCTGTCCATGGAATTCCCCAGGCAAGAATATTGGCGTGGATTGCCATTCCCTTCTCCAGGGGGTCTTCCTGAACCCCGTCTCCTGCGTTGCAGGCAGATTCTTTACCATCTGAGCCACCAGGGAAGCCTGTAACTAATAGCTACAATAACTGAGTGATTATGTAATAGAAAGGTTAGTTGCTCATTCATGTCCGACTCTGCGACCCAGGGACTGGA